AAAGGAATTATTGGAGCAGACATATTGAACAAATATTCAGCACAAATTAAATTCAACAAACAGACAGTACAATTCAACGTCAATAATATACCAATCACTGTACCATTCGCCAACAGAGAACCAAGGATAACCAAGGATCATCTGCTTAACGTAGAAATTAATGACAACTTGGATAATGACCACGTCAGTCTAAACGATCAAGAAAGTCAAAGGTTTGTATCATTGTTAAACAAGTACGAACACATTTTTTCTGAACAACCTGGAAAGATTACCGAGTTTCAATGTCAAATACGTGTCAAACCAGGGGACCCAATTTACCAGCGACCCTATCCAATACCAGTATCGAGGATACCTAAGGTGGATGCCGAGATACAGAGGATGCTAGATTTACAAGTCATAGAAAAATCAACATCACCATGGTCATCACCCATAGTCTGTATTGAGAAGAAAAATGGAGAGATTCGATTATGCCTAGATGCCAGAAAAATTAACACAGTCATAATACCGGATCGAGAATGTCCAACAAATATGGACGACACTCTCATCAAGTTCCAGGGAACGAAATACCTAAGCTCGATTGACTTGACGGCAGGTTATTGGCAGTGTCCACTAAAAGCCGAATGTCGGGAAATTACAGCATTTTTGCACAAAGGCCGTAATTACCAGTTTAAGGTATTACCTTTTGGATTAATCAATTCAGTTGCCGAGTTCCAAAAAATCTTAGATCAAGTATTAGGACCGGAAATTCTACAATTTGCCGCCATATATGTCGATGACATACACATCACTTCCACGAGTTTTCAAGAACATATTTGTCACTTAGAACAAATCTTTGAAAAATTTGCACAACACCACATCACAATCAACAGAAAAAAGTCACAATTTTTGAAAAAACAAGTGATTTTTCTGGGTCACATAATAAGTGAAAAAGGGATATCTATGGACCCAGATAAAATACAAGCCGTGATGAACTTCCAGCCGCCCAAGACGAAAAAACAGGTACAAGCATTCATTGGTTTCATAAATTTTTACAGAAAATTCATCAGGGATCTATCTCAAGACACCGGACAACTTAGTAAATTAACCAAAAAAGATGCAAAATGGATGTGGGGAACCATACAGCAGCAAGCTTTTGACAACATAAAACAAAAATTCCTCGAGGATATAATAATTCAATTCCCAGATTTCAAGAGAGAATTTCACCTGAACACCGATGCCTCAACAACTCACCTTGGGGCTGAACTCTATCAAATTACGGAAGAAGGACAACACCAAACCCTCAGTTTTGCCAGTAGGACATTAAAAGCAGCGGAGCAAAACTACAACACCACGGAGCTTGAATTGCTTGCAATAGTTTTCGCATGTAAAAAATTTCGAAATTATTTACTTGGACATAAGACTAAAATATTAACCGACCATCATGCCCTTACATTCCTAAATACGTGTCAACTACTCAATGCTCGACTGGTCAGATGGGCCACATTTCTACAGGAATTTCAGTTGGAAATAACGCACATTCCGGGGAAGGAAAATGTCGGTGCCGACACACTAACACGGTATCCGCAGTCACACACCGACGACGCAACAGCCAGCAACAAGATAATCATTATCAACAAATTATCGCTATTAGAATACAGCAAGGAATTAAAAGAACAATTCAAAGACTTCGAGGTGTTACAACAGCAAGATGAACACATTCAGAAACTTAAACAAAGGGTCACGCAAAGGACCAATCATAATCTCATGATACATCAGAACCTACTATTTCGTCAAGCGCCCTCGGGTGACTATCAGATCATGGTGCCAGAGATAGCAGTAAAACAGCTGGTGGAAGAAACACACAAAATATATGGCCATTGCGGGACGTATAAGACATATAAACTGTTGCAGCAGGACCACCAATTTAAAAACATGTATCGGACGATTAAGCAAATAATCAAAACATGTGATCTGTGCCAGAAGGCGAAAATAAGCAATATAACGGCTAGGGGACCAACGTTAAGCCTCCTACCCACCGAACCAAGGGAAATGGTATCTGCCGACCTAATGGGCCCGCTACCCAGGGGACAGGGAGGATGTAGATACATCTTGGCAATATTGGATGTGTTCTCCAAATATATCAAACTATATCCGTTAAAAAGAGCCACTACCGACACCATAATAAAACGACTAGTGAGTGAATACATACCCACCATTGGTTTGTTCAAGAAGATCCTAACCGACAACGGAACGCAGTTCACCAGTACTAAATGGGAAAAAGTCATGCAAGGATTGAAAATCACCAACCTGCACACAACGATTTATCATCCGGAGAGTAATCCAGTAGAGAGGGCAAATCGGGAAATTGGCCGCCTACTAAGAACCTACTGTCATAAGCAACATACAAATTGGTTAAAATGGTTAGATAATGTAGAATACTGGATCAACCACACTACCCATACAACCACTAGTTATACACCAAACTATATAATGTTTGGGGAGAAAACCAAGTTATCAATAAGCAAATTGGTAGTTTTTCCTAAACACGAGGACCTGAAGAAACCCCCCGACATTATACAGATTGTAATGAAACGGTCAAAAAAGCAAGCTGATCTGCGAAACGCATACAAAGACAGAGATAAACGATTCCCTCAGTATAACGTGGGCGATCAGATCCTGATCAAAGAACATAGGTTATCCTCCGCTGAGGATAAGGAGACCCATAAGTTATTCCTGATCTACCACGGACCATACCAAATACAAGCAGTACATAATAATAACACGGTAACTATCCAAATCAATGGAAGTCATCGAACCATCAACTTCAAAAACATCAAGAGATACTACAAACCCGTGAGCGGAGTATCTCAAACAAATAATTAAAAAAAAAAAAAAAAAAAAAACAATATATATGTCGCCCAAAATAACTTGCTTGTGAATCCATGTAATAAACTTTTAAATTCTTATGTAACACAAATACCCCCCCCACTATGTAGGAACCAGAAAGATGTTCGTACAGATTCCATTGACCAAAATAAAAAGCAGAAAGGTCTTGCACAAAATGGAGGTAACCCACATCGACGAACTGCTAACCATCGAAGAAAGACGCAAAATAGCCATGTTCTACCGTCAGGAGGAGGCAAAGAGAACTAGATACAACCCGGAACCCTCATGGAGCCTTCCACCTACCATGCAAGCCACCCGAAGACCATCTGCCACCGGGATGACGTGGGATGATTTTATCGCACATTGGGAGCAAAGACCAACACCATGTCACACCCTAACTCAACCACAGGAAGCAGCACCGACTACTGCACATGAAGAAAAAGAACAGTCGCCCCGGTCCAGTAATTTAAGTGAAACCGAATCAGAGGTTATCATCATGACGATAAAGCACTTAATCGACCGCCATCCAGAATCCCCGGTAGAGATCAGAAAGAGTATACTAAAAGTCGGAGCCTACTTGAAGGACTTTGAAAATGTTTCCAAGACTCGCCTGCGAAGACTGATCTACAAGGAGAAGAATCAAAGGATAAAGGGTATGAAACAACAATATCAACCATAACAACAGCAAACTAATAATTCACTACACCACAAGCACACAGCGTCAAAATTTTAAAGTTTTTATTTTTATTTTTTTTTTTTTTTTTCTCTCACTCCAAAATCTTCAAAAAAAAAATAATAAATAAAAAAGGGGACAATGTAATGAGACAAAACGGTGTGGCCATTAACGTGGCGCACTCTCGTTGTGATCATTACCCACGGTCAAACATCGCCCGCCGCGTAGAAACATCGACCGCCCAACCGCAAACCGCAAACCACAGATAGCGCTCCGCCGCGCAATGATTAAACAACGCATGCCGCCCACGGAAAACCTGAGTTTTCCGTGGGAACCAATAGAGCTATCAAAACGTTACGAACATATTCAAAATCAGCGTTATTTTCACCATAATCTGGTAATCTCCAAACACTCTGAACAATAACCTGCAGTTTCGAATCACGCAAGGTGTCAGATAACATTCGAGACGGGACCAGCGAGCCTCGAATGGCATAAATACAGGCCGCTGGCCGCCGTACACACACAGTTCTCCAGCTGAGAGAAGCGAGAATAGCAAGCCGGACGGTATTTGTTACCGCCGAGAACGGATGCTAATTTCGAAACTCTATTACAGCAATTCCTGCCCACTAGACTCAATGAGCCGGACGGTCTTTTTTGACCGCCGATAACGGACATTGTACAGTCTTTCCCGGCACTCCCTACGCTACCGACCATCACGTGTCGAGAACGCCGAGCCGTCGCCGCCGTCGTCCGATCAGTTGTTCGTCGCCGCTCGTCAGAGAAGGTCAACCGACTCCTGTGCCGCCTTCCGACCACTGTGCTGTACCCGTAACTCGTCGCCACCGTCTATTTGAGAACGCCGAGTCGAAGCTGCCGCCGTCCAAACCACGTGTCTGCCGACCTGTACGAAGTTGTGAACGTCGAGCCGTAGCTGCCGCCGTCCAACCATCTACTCACCGTCTGTCGAGAACGTCGAGCCATAGCCGCCGCTGTCCGGTCATTGACCTACCTCTTGCCGGTAGAGTTGAATTTGTCCTACACACCACCAGTCGAAAAAACCAACATACCGCCACGCAGAGCTGAGTCACTGTTGTTTACCGAGAGTCGAGCCGTTCACGCCGGTAATAATCAATTATTACCGTGCCGCCGTGATCGCGCCACTGTACGTGGATGCTCATTGCCACCATCGTCCCGCCACATACCATTCTACGAACCGTGAGTTAAATGTTCATGCTGTTCCCCCCCAATATTTTATGTAAATCCCGTAATTAAAATATTTTTTATGTACACTCGCAAGAGTATAATATATAATAATTCAAAAGAAATACTGTATTACACATCACCAAATTGTATCTGTATAACGAATTATTACGTATGTGAAATAAACGTGAAATAATAAATTGAATAAATACCAACACGTTATTTTCCTTACAAACTTTCGAAGTGGTTGGAGGTAAAGGATATGAGAAGTATAACTACGGGCAACACTATTGTGGAACTTCGTGAGATATTTGGTAGATGGGGGTTACCTGTAACATTGGTGTCGGATAATGGCGCTCAATTAACGTCACATGTATTTACCACATTTTTAAAAAGTAATGGCATAGTTCATTTGAATACAACTCCGGGACACCCCGGAAAACGGTGCGGCTGAAAATGCGGTTAAAACAACCAAGCACGCTTTATCGGCAGCTTTAGCTGATAGTAAAAATAAAAATGTACCCAAGTCAACCATATTAAACAAATTCTTATTAGGTTATAGAAATGCATCACATTCTACTACTGGAGAATCACCGTCAGTGTTAATTTTAGGTAGAAAACTACGTTGTAGTCTGTAGATTAGATTTACTGTATAAATCGGATGATTAAGTGGTGTGTAAGAGGCCAGATAAGACAATAAAAAAATACAATGGCAGTCAGAATAAGGTTTTTAAGGAAGGTGACGATGTAATGATCAAAAGTTACAAACATTGGAATAAGGAATCTTGGTTAAAAGCAACAATAAAGAGAGTACTAGGTACTAAAAGATACGAATGTGAATCGAACGATAATAAAACATACATTAGACACGTTGATCAAATGATCGATGCGACAATTGTTGAAACGGAAACACGAAAACAGGATAGCGAAAAGGAGGTAGTTAGTCCCACGGTTAGGTATGATAATAATATTAAAAAAAGAACAAGAAACATGCCAAGCAAACTAAAAGATTTTATTTTTAATTAAAATTATTAATTTCATTTAGGTATGTGTTTAATTATTTGCATGTGATATTTAATTGTATATTATTTTGAGAATGTAATGATATATAAAAAAAAAAAAAAATGTAATTTTGTGTACATTAAACTACTATTATTTTGTTTGATGTACTTAATTAAGTTTAAGTTGTAGTATAGTCTTAATGGGGTGGTGTGCTATCTGTGTACATTGGTATAGGCTATCGCTAATGGCTTATACCACGGCCCACCCAGGCGGCTATTAGGATATATTCATTCAGTGTTCGTTGCAAAGTTGCGTCGCGAACTACAAAAATTATCATGCAATTTTATTAGTAAACGTATTTATATAACTTTTGCATGTTATTGATTCTTATGCAAATATTACACATAGCTACTAATAAAGTATTTACAATCAATTATAATAATTATTATAATAATTTTAGTACACAGTATAATTTATACTAGATACCTAATATATAAATTATTTTAATACACAATATATACTATTATTATACATACTATATGCAGTTATTGAGAACCGTTTTCCCACATCTGTAAAAATAAGCAACAATGGTGAAAATTTCCTTTTTTTTTTTCTTTAAGGCTCACATCCTTTGGTTAAAGTATCTGTGTACATTATTTGAGAACCACGAGTTCTTTATCTGTGGATCGCTTTTATACATACATATAAACTTTGGCGTTTATAATAAACACTACTGTTAGATAAACATATTTAAAAAAATTAAACTGGTACCTAACGAACTTGTATCACCTGGAATGAAATAAGAAAGTTAGTTGTTAATTTAAAAATATTTTGTAATTTCCGGATTTTGATAAATCGTACTTTTTATTGAGAGAGAAAAATTTTATCAAAAGGAATTATAAAAAAAAAAAAATAATACGAAATACACAATACAAAAATATATAATGCTCATTGCTCAATTATACATGAAACTTCGGACTTAATAATGTTATGTCCCATGGGATAACCTATTTTTTTGATTCCATTTACTTGAGCTAGAAAAAGTATTAGGTTTTCTTATAGTCTCACCCAATACATTGTTTTTTTTTTTATGTTAGAATACCATCCACTGGCGTTCAATCAACGCTACGGGCGATCGCAGCACACCATAATATACTGAATCAACACCACTTACAAAAATTATTCTTTTATAATTAATTATGATGTACTCAATATAAAAAAAAAAAGCAAATATTCTAACAGCAGTCTAACACCATATTCTTATTTTTCGATCAACCATGTTCCGTTTGTCATCGAATACCTATAATTTAGCTATGAAATATGCGGTACTATTAAAGTATTTAAAATGAATTTTAATTTTTCATTCACAATATTTATTAATTATACATACTTGGCAATGTTTGGCTGTATAAATTTTTTTTGGCTATAAAAATCAACAACATTGTGAAAATTTACAATTTATTTCTACATTAAATATTACGTCAGCCAATTAATAGGTTAAATATACTTTTTAAAGTAGACCAATAAAATAGTTCAGGAAAAATCAATACCACCAATATTTGACCACAATAACATACAATTAATTATATACCCATTACCCATAAACGTTTAAAAATCGATAGTTGATTGTTTTGTTGGTAATAATGCTTAAAACATTTAAAAATTTTTTTTTAAAATGAAGAATCATTTTATTTTTATTTTTCAGTTTCATAATTTCGATGAGATAGATTTTCCATGAGTCCATTATATTTACATATTCCACATGTACCTCCATGTTTAAAATTAAAAAAAAAAAAGACGGATAAGTGAGTACCACTCTGCTATACAGTAGTTGTCAAGTATGTCATTGTAATGGATGTGTTATATTTGAATTCAATGATAAATCATTGGATACGAAAAACGGTTCTGAGTGGAGACGATGAGTTAGTGAAGTGCCGCCGAACACGTATGGCTACTGGGGTAAATACCCCATACATTTTATAGGTTAATGGGTGGGTAGGTGGGTGATTGCTTATTGCTTTAAAGTCTTGTTGAATTCGATAAATTACTTTCAAAAACTGTGGATTTGTATAAGGGTACCTAATCACTTTTTTACTACTATTGTAGTTATTAGTTAGGTAGATATAATGTGATCATGCACTGTGTTGTCTTTGACAAATTAGATGCCAAAAGATTTACAATGATTTGAACACCATTAATATTGTAAATAAACAAATTTTTACACATTATTATTCTTTAATTTCATATTCAATCAAAAAAAGTATTAATTTTTCTTGAGCCTCTTTTTTTAATTCATGATTTATAAATTTTTCTTCAAGACACACATACTTGGGTATTAGTATATCTGTATACTATATTTGAGAATCATAAGTTCGGTAGACTTGCCTGTGGATTGATTTTATACACATCAACATTTTTGTTGATTGTATTGATTATTTTACTGAAGTGTAAAATCCTGCAGGAACTAATTTGGCCGATCCATAATTCATATTCATCCAAATATAAAAAGGTGGGCAACGTACACGTACTGCTGAACTATATGTGCAGTGTGGATTACTGACCACTGTAATGGATGTGTTTCATTTGAACTCAAAGACATAAACCAATTGTAAACGCAAATTGATTCTGAACAAAGACGGTATAACCGGTTATTCCCGATAAATTTCTGGATTTGAGAATATTCTCATGAATTGATACTGCCCTATGTATTTCATTGGCGTCCCCAAATACAACATAATTTAAGTTTCATACTGTAGCGGATCACATATGTGGGACACCGTTACATGGTATACGGTTAAGTATAAATAATAAGCAAATATAGATATAGATAATAATAAGGGAAAAGGCTTGTATGCACAGTATAGTCATCCGGGTACACATATATACACACAGAATTGTAACATATAAAAAGACACACAATGTTAAGTTAGTTAGTTCTGGGACCAGTACAGGTACCCACTAGCCAACGAACTCCGGAGGACGATACTGTGAGTAAGTCTTTCGATATTTCCGTAGTTAATAAGTCTTTAGGATTTAATAAGCATTGTGTAATGTGTACGTATTTAATTATTATAGTGTATATATTTAATAAGTACTGTGTAATAATAAAAACATATCAACTAGAACTTAATATTTGATCTATCTTTTCTGAAGCTCCCGAGTTACGGTTAAAATATAATTCACAGGGATCTGAAGTCCCTCACTGAATTATTTAAATATAACAGGTTCCCCGACCCCGTTACAGTACGATTTAAACCCTCTGCTCACATTAATGTTAAACATTTTAGGTCCTCTACCATTTTAATGGATTTCTGTGTAGCTTCTTATAACGGAAAACTTTGTAACAATAAGGACCACTGTTAGAATACATATTTAAAAAAAAAATTGGTTACGTACCAACAGCTAGAATAAAATAAAAAAAATGTTGATGTTAATGATAAAATATTTTTAAATTTCCCTATTTTGATGAATTTTAAAAATAATTTTGAAACTGAGATAATTTATCAAAAAGATTGAAAAAAATGTGTGTTCTGCATTATTATTGAAATTTAATTACACACATTTTTACAAATTAATATTATTTTATATTATATTAGTGTGCAACTTTAATATGACTTAAACAGACAAGATACAAATTAAAAATTATACATTTTGATTTTCCAATAGTATTCTTTTCGTCTCGTAATATGTAAGTGAATAATTTATTTGTAATCAGATCATTTAAAACTACAAGTTTAACTAAATATTAAAATATAATATGAACAATTTTGAAACATTTATAATATTTCTGATAAATTTTTGGACATGTGAATATTCTTGGAAATTCATTAATAAACCTCCTTAAGTATTCTATTAGCCTTCCCAAAAACTGACACATCTTAGTTGTGTGAGATCGTAGCCCCCACACATAGCTTTTAAAAATGTTGGCCCTTCCTGAAATTTTAAAGGATTTTCGGCTCTACTTCTCATAATGGAAACTGTGTAAGAAAATACCATAAGACAAACACCTTTTGCAAAATAAAACTGTTTACCTACGTACTTACATGTACGTTGAACTGGAAAAAAAATTTTTATTAATTATAAAAAATGTTTCATTAAAATTCAAGTTTTTGATAAATCGTACTCTTAATTTTTACTGAGAAAGAATCAAGTTAAAAATAAACCCCGACAAATACTAAAATATATGATGCCTAATACATGACACTCTGGTCTCGCCAATTAATATATGTCCACTGGGATAACCTGTTTTGTTACGCAATTTACTTGAGATGGAAAAACTATGAGGTTATTCTCACTTGATGATACACCACGGGGAATACTCAAATATTCCCAAAAGAATATTCTTGAGAACAATAAAAATTCTAAAAATATTGTAATACTTCTCACGGAATTTCCTTTAAATAATTATTGTAATAAATAAATAATTTAACATCCCATCTTTACGATGACAACTGATATTTAAGAATGCTACTTGAATTAGATTTAAACAGATTAAATAAAACTAATTAAATACATTTTTCTAATTTTCCAACTATAGGATTAACTTAACATTAAGCAAGCCTGGGCAAGTTAATGATAATTTTTAACGGTGTTAAGTTAAGTCAATGGAAAACATTTTAAAAAGCTTAAAGTTAACAAGCTAACCTAATTTTTTTTAACTACTTAAGTTAAGTTAAAAGTTATATGAACATTTTCAATTAACTTATTAACTTAAGTTAAGTAATTTATTTATTTTTTTATATTATATCTATATAAATACCCAGTAATATGGTTTAAACTTTAAAATAATAAAAACAGCCAATAGCTTTTCTATACATAGGTACTGAATTAATATATTTATGTAGAAAGTACAAAAAGCATACAAAATTGAAAATGCCGAAACAAACACAATGTTTTGATTTATTAATGCAGATAAGTATTATACATATTACACAGACCAAGAACCCAGTTAGTATAGACTGAATGTATTGAGAAAATTCAAAATTCAAAATTCTATAATTTAATAATTTAATCAAAAAAAAAAT